ATTGCAGTCTTGATTATTAGTAGTAGCCTATACTATAAGCTATATGTTAAAGAAAGCAGCATCATTCATCCTAAATTTTCAAATAAAATTTATTACAGCTCCATTTTGTGATTTAACAACTAATTTTTCTCTCATTTAAAAACCTTAGAAATGAGTCTAAATGGCAATGAGTTTTTTAAAACTTCAAATGTCACTTCAAGGTCTTACTTGAAGTGTCGTTATTTGTATTTTCTTTCCCATATCTGCACCCTTTACAGTAGAGCTTTCTTGTTTAACCTTCCTCTGGCATAAACATTATGAGTTTATCAGTGGGAGTGACCCATTTCACTTTACACATCATAATTTAATCCACTAGTTCAGACAAATATTTGTAAAACCAACTTTGAGGATCTATCACCAGCATATCACTGAAAATGTTGATACTTGAATAAATTAGTTAAAAGTTAAACACCAGATTTTAAATGAAGGAATTCAAACTTTTATTTCTAAATGGAATAAATCAATCAAATGAAGCTGTTAAAAAAAAAAAAAAAAAAAAAAGTTAAATAATTTATTTCTGATGCTTTTTTTAAAGCGTAGTACAACTGTGCTTTGAAATGACAATGCCTTTTAGTTGCTAATAAAATGATTCCCATGCCAAAAGGAACACACTTACCACCTGTCACTTTAATTGCTGCTGTGGTCATGGCCACGAGTGCCATGCTCATTTTGAGCTTTTAATTGATTTCAATGACTGAACTATTCTTTTTTCCAGAGTGGAATGATCATGCAGCATACATCTTCAACAACTTGTAAAAACAAGTCCCAATTTATTTTTGATTTTCTCTCATCTGCACGGGGTCAAAGTGATACATGTAGGCACAAATATACACATAGACCCACATTTATATTTGGCTAAATGTCTCTTAGCAAGTTGCACCTCGAGAAAGTGCTTTTATTCTTCTGGCATAATCCTGGCTGGATAGTTCTTGGCAGAATTGGTAGAGATCGTTTAAATTGGTTGATTTTCTGGCACCAACTCAGCTTTTAAGCCTAGTCTACAAATTTTCCGTAAGGTTGAGTTCAGGGCTTCGATTGGGGTCATTGTCCTGTTGGAATATTTGACTGTGTACAAGTTTCAACCCTTTAGCTGTTGATGTGAAGTCAAGTTGAAGAATTTTGAGGTAGTCCTTCTCCTTCATTACTCCAATAATCTTGTGCAATACATTAGCAGCAAAACAGACAATGATGCTTCCACAAGCGTGCTTGAGAGGTGGCGTGGTGTTCGTTGGGATGAAAGCCTCACCTTTCTGCTCCTTTAAACATGCCCCTTATAAATAAGCAAATACCTCAATCTTTGTCTCATCTGATTATAATACTTTTCTCCAGAAGGCATCTGGCTTGTCACTGTGGGCAGGTGAAAATTCCAGTCGAGCTTAAAAGTTATAATTTTAGAGCAGGGCTTTTGGTATATTCTCAGTCCATTGTAGAAGTCGCTTCACTGTGGACAGTGGCTCTGGTGTTCCACCAGTTTCCAGTTAACAGCAATTCTAACCAATTTTCTCTCACCTGAGGGTGACTATTTAGGTCTCTTGTAGACCTTGGAAAAATAGTGATACATTCAATTGTTAAGTTTGTTTGAACTTATGATCTTTGAATACAGCTGTTTAGAAATGGCTCCAAGAGGCCTTTTCCAGTTTGTGTAAATCTGCAGTTCTAACTTAAGGCTTCACTGAGTTTCTTGCACTTTCCAATTGCAGTATTGGTCACTCCACCATGGCGGCAAAGAGAAGCTAGCAGCTGTAGTCATTCACAATCACTCTTGAGAAATTAACAGACCTTGGCCTCGCCACGACACTGTAGAACCTTCAGCACCATTTATTGAAACATTTAACGGAGCGTATGCATATATTTGAGCCCTTGCATAAAATTTTGACCCTGTGTGGATTAGAGAGAATTCAAAATAAAATTAAACGTGTCGGAAAAGAACAGTTCAAAGAAATTATGAAAATTCAAAAGTTACTATGACATGCAAGCTCACAATGAGTGTATGTAAACTGACCACAGCTGTAAATCTTTACATTGTTTATTTTAATAACGGCATAATTTAATCTTTAAAATCCTGGGCAGTATATACATAATTAATCATTCGGTCAAATAATAACTCGCACTTTCAGGAGTTTTAAATTAAATATATTATACATAGAACAATTAGAACTATTTACAGTAAGCTCATATATGATTACAGTAAAAGCAAAGCAAACAGTTACAATCATCTGTGTCTGAAACATGATTAAAACAATGTTGCCACCAGGATCCACATATTGGGTTTCAGTGCCTCACATGAGTTCTTCAAGTCAAGTCCTGCTTGCAAGAGTGTGAAGTTCTGGTAACAGTTTCAGTGGGTTCTTCGGTCCACTCGAATTATTTTTATCCAGTTGGGTCGACTCGATCCAGTCAGACGAAAAACGTGGACTCAAAGGACCTTTGGACGTGCTGCTGTAATACAATAAAGCTTGTTTGACACGCCCACGTAGGAAACCATGACAACTGAAATGCAGCAGCAATTAGATTATTATAAGAGTGAACTGGTCTGCTCAACTTCGAAAACGGCTCAGACCCTGCCTTCAACAAAACCGCACTGTGTTAGACTTTGATTTGCATTTTCAGTTTTTTATGCTTTTCAGCATCTGCTTCCTCTGGTAGGAAAATCAACTGAAAGACAAATCTAATCACAGTGAGTTTTCCAGACCAGGATTACCGGGATAGTATTTGCTCAAAATGATCTTATGTGAGCAAACTATCTGTCGTGCATGTGCCAATCAGTTGGTAAGCAGGTGCTGGCAGACACTCTGATATTGACTGCTAAAGCCCTATTCACTCAGATATGATGGACAGTCAAAACTCTGTGAGATGACTTTGGTTGATAGGAGACTGGAGTGAAAACAATCGCAAACTGCTCGCCAACAGCAGCAAAACTGTAAAAGTGTGACAGAAACTGGAGATGGAGAACATTCGGCTTCAAAGTGAAAGGTGACCCTTTTAAAATGTGTTTGTTCCAGTAAGGCACAACTTGTACTATGAAGGCAAATGTTCTCTTTTTCCAGTTTGCACTGTTCTTTTTCAACTTTTACTACAGCTCAGAGACTAAAATGATAAATGTCTCCAAACAAGTTGGCATCTTCCTCGCACACTACTAGTGCCCGCAGCAATCTGCCAGCAACAGAAGCAATCACAAGGTTTTTTTGCAATGCTCTCTTTGCAACTTTACCTAACAAGAGCCAGAAACCTCCAGCAACAAACAGTCGGGGAACGCACATTCTCTTGGGGCCAGAGGTGGCTTACTGGACTGTGGCCCCTGTCTGACTCAGAACTCAAACTTTCCTTCAGAATCTCGGACAAACCCACAATTCATCATATCATATTGGTGACAGATGGATGTCAAGGTCCTTCAGCATTATCTTGTACTTTTGAACTAGCTTAAGCACAACTTAAGCATTGTCCCACATCATATTCATCAGTCTGAACGGCAGATTTGATGCCTTATGTTCTTACAGAAAGGTCCTTCGGCATTACATTGTCATTAATCTGCCAAACAGTCCTTAAGATATCAAAATTCACGAGCCATCACCGTTATTGTGAGGCAAAGATTGTAAAGCGAAACCGCTGTAACCCTGTTCACTTATTTCAACCACCAATCACTACTAGCTGAGTCGTGGTTATCACTGTGCATATATTGGTCCTTCTCAGAAAGACTGTAAATAGGTCCTTTGATTTTAGAGCCACTGTGTACTGTGCTGAGTCTCATTGAGTGATAAGATCCAGTCCTTCACTGATAGCACAAAAAAAGAAAAATCCAACAACAGGAATAGTAGAAATCCCATAAGCAACAAGAGAAGCTAACGAGGAACTGATAAAGGCAAAGGAGTGTAG